GAGGCTTTCTTCCTTAGTTTCCTTTCTCTCAGGGGTTCTTGAGTCTTTTGTTGAAGCTTCGATCGACTGAGCTTCTTTCCAGTCAACCGATAACAGTTGATGGTCCCTGCATTTTACTCTCCCTCAGTCTGCGACCATTGTCCATCGAGGTCATGGGCATCAAAGGACCCGAAGTCCATGAAACTCGGCTTCTAGAACGCCAAGATGACTCACCTGAGAAACAGAGTCGAAAGGCTTCGTTGCCCTTTCTGTTTCATAATTCACGAGATAGCGAATGCAGTCTTGATACAGGTCAACCGAATACGAAGCCGAACCAAGAGTCGAACGCAGCAAGCTAACGTCTCCAACAGTCCACAAGCACGGTTGGAAGCCATTGACTCTCTGTGCCCCTGTGCTTTTCTCCTTTGCCTTTACGTCCTTCCTCCTTGCGGCCATAATCGAGATACTGGCACAGCAAAGCCAAGCCAAAGGAGGGCTCGCCCTATCCGAATCCGCAGACAACATACCGCCGTTAGCAAACTTCTGTTACTTGTTTTTACCTACAATCATTGCCGTCATCTACAGTCTGCTATGGAGTTGGATCGATCTCGACGTGAAGCGCATGCAGCCCTGGTTGGAGATGTCTCAGCCAGAGGGTGCCAGTGCTGAACACTCAATATTTCTCGATTATCCCTACGACTTCATTGCTTTCGTCCCATTGAAGGCTGCCAAAAGACGGTCAGACATAACCCGATCACTTCCATGCTTGGCACTTACATAAGATAGACATTGGCCGGTCTTCTACGGTGGAACGGTCATGGTCATCATCTTTTGGCTCATTACCCCCTTGCAGAGCGCTATACTCGGAACAGGGCCTGTGAATATTCAGAGGTTTATGAACACCACGACGTCCCAGGAAACAATTTCATCTTCAGATCAACCACCGATTCTGGATCAGTCTATCCTCAACGAAGGTTATGCCATCACTTGGTTGAACCAATCTCTGCCACCTTTCACAGCACCAGATTATACCCTCCTACCATTCACAGCTAACACAGAGCGGGAGCACACACCTACAACCAACTGGACAGGTAGTACAACCAAATTTTGGACTCAACTAGAGTGTTGGCCAGGCGAGATCTCCCATCATGGCTCCCCGCAGAAAAGGACCTATGATTTCATCAATGGCCGAGGCTGCAATGCCAGCGACATCGACGTGTACGGTTCTACTACTGGCGAAAGGCCGTACAAGATGCTCTATGTTGGCTACCAGAACAGTGCGTGGGCTGACTACTACCTGGCGAGGGATGATACCTGCCCTCCGAGCGCGGCCGGTCACCAATTCCTGTCCATGTGGTCGCACTGGAATGTAACCTTGCAAGAGATCAAGATAGCGTCGGCTTTCTGCGAAACCAGCTACTTCAAACAGCAGGTCAACGTCACTGTCTCTTCAACCGATCAGGCACCAATAGAGAATTCCTTGGTACCCACTGGCCCCCGCGAACGCCTACCAGAGACGGAGTTCAACTACACTGCTTTCGAGCACCTTTTGGGAGTCGGAGTCTCCTCCGTAGAAAGCACAACGAGGCGGGAGTATCCCTTTCAAGGCATCCTACTCGAGCATTATCAGCAGGTCCAGGATTTGGGCATCATCTGGCCCATGCCACCGATGGTAGGATTTGCCATCGCGGCTCAAAACAGGACACAATTGGATGCATTCGAAAACGAGACTGTCATGGGAGATGCCTACAACAAGACACACAAGATGCTTTTTTCTCTTGCACTGCGACGTGTCCTAGCCAATAGTACCAGCACAATCATGAGTGAGGGAAGAATCGATTATGTGCTACATGGCATCATCGTCAGCCGCCTGTTTTCCGCCATCGTTGAAGGCCTCCTAGGTCTCGTGGGAATTTTCACAATCCTTCTTTGGTGGCATGGCTTCCGAGCTGCGAGCAGGTTGACCATGGACCCGGCTTCACTTGGATCACTCATCAGCCTCTGTCAGAACAGTACGGTTCTTCTTGACCGATTCGCTGGGAAGGGGGCTGTATCCGAAGACACTCTCAAAGAGGCCTTTAAAGATCAAAGATTCAAGCTGTTCTGCGGTTGTCAGAGTCGTACAAGACAGATGGTTATCAAGGTTGTCGATGTCAGAGATGGTCCCGCCGATGGTCAACGCATTAGTTTATCCCAGCCTGAGAACCCCTTCTCGGTTGGTCACTACTCACCAGTGAAGCCTTTGGCTCTGAGACGCGGAATCGGTTTCGCAGTGATATTAGCTATGATCAGCGCTGTTGTTGCGCTCGTCTATCTGAAGCTGGAGGAAAAAAAGAATAGAGGTCCGCTTGTCGCCCCCTCCCCCCCCCTTTCGGAAAGTTATCTAAATCTGGAGCAGGGCTCATTCGGCCGACAACAAACTTCGAGGTCCTACAGATCCTGGAAAACTATGTTCCGACGATATTTGCTACACTTCTCGAGCCTTTTTGGGTGCTTGTCAACCGACTCCTCTGCATCATCCAACCATTCCGGGATCTATGGACGGGTCGAAAGACTGCTGGCGGATCTATCAACGCAAGATACACGTCTGTGCCTCCTCAACTGGCACTATGGCGCGCAGCGAAGTCTGGTCATTTCATGCTCATGGCGATATGTGTCTTGGCGCTACTTTCGAATCTACTCGCCGTCGGCCTCGGTGGTCTCTTCAATGAATTTCCGATAGTGATTCAAAGTCCGCAAGAGTTTCAGCAGAGCCTTATGCCACAGTTGAACGGCACAGCAATCTACTCCGACCAGGCCAGGCAGCTATTTGCTAGTAGTGTTGCAGCTTATGGTGTGCCTTTCTACACGACGATGAACAACATCTCTCAAGGTACACCTCTTCCCGCTTGGATTACCCATGACTACTTTTTCCAGCCATTTACCCTTGGACCCGGGGTTGAGGGTACGAGCGATAGCTATACGGCACGAACGAGAGGATTCGGCTTGAACCCGTCATGTTCCTCCATCGGGACCTTCGAATCGACGGTCAAAGCTCCCGTGATCAACTACACATATACCCGTAACGGTGAAGCTGTTCCCAACTGCCCGACTACTCACCAGGCTTACTCGTTCGATTTCAACGCCACCCAGCACTTACCACAGAAGGGAGAATGTGCAGCTGAGGAGGTCAGGATGTTTGGCGACAGCAACAATTTGGTTCCTTGCAACGTTGCTTTCAGCATGGGCTGGGCAAGGGCCCCGAATATCACGGACAAGAAGGATGGAAAGATGGAATCTACTTTTGTCGTTTGCGAGCCGACCTTCACGACAGCAATGTTCGACGTCACCGTAGACCGCGACGGTCGCGTCTTCCACTCCGTTCTGGCATCCGAGCCGTCGCCGACTCTCGATTACCCCATGTCCACCAACCACACCGACGCGATCGCGGTCCTGCTCAACAAGATCTTCTTCAAAGACGGGTTACGATGGCACAACGACAGCCTGTCCCTGGACTGGTTCAACTACCTGATCAAGATCTCCGACCCGGACAGCCACGTCCTCGACCCGACCGTCTTCCCGAACGCGACCGCCCTCGCACCGACCGTCGAACGAATCTACCGACAGCTCTACGTCCTCATGCTGGGCCTGAACCCGTCCTTCCTCTTCCTCGAATACCCGCAGCCCGTCACCATCATGGGGGGCGTCCAGCGCAGGACCGAGACGCGCATCTTCATGGACGCCACCGCGCTCGTCATCAGCCTGGTGGTGCTCGGCATCAACATCGTCGTCGCCGCCGCGCTCTACGGCTTCTCCATCAAGCACTTCCTCCCCCGCATGCCGACGACCATCGGGTCGATCCTCGCCTACATCGCGCCGAGCAGGGCGGTACGCGAGTACGACGGGCCCGAGAGCCTACAGGGCGCGACGTTCAGTTTCGGACGGTACGTTGGCGACGACGGGCGGGCGAACGTGGGCATCGAACTCGACCCGTTCGTGGTGCCGGTTAAGCTTTCTTCGCTGAGAAAGGGGGATACGGAACCCAGGAAAGGATTGCTGAGTCGGGTGATGGGTAGGAGGGCCGAGAAGGGCGGGGATACCTGGCTATGAGAGGTGGCGATTGGCAAGGCGTTTTCTGGATGGGACGAAATCACGACACGGAACATCGAACGACACGGAGACGGCAAGGCGTTTTTTATCTTCCTTTCTCTCCAGATCAAGTTTGGAGTGTTTATGGTCACTCGACATTGCCTCACCACCTTCGAAAATGCGGGGGAAGAGAGAGAGGATCGCCAGAGACGCGAAAGCGACGAGCTATGGTTGATTGGGAAAAGAATTATACCCAGGGAATATGCATATCACAAACGCGGTCCACGAATCTCGCATCAAGCTCAGGGCTGAAATCGATACAAATGTCAAACAAAAGATAAAGAGACGAGAAGAATTACAGTTCGTCTAGTGCGAGCGGGAGTGCCCATGTAATCGTCCCCGTCTGCAAACTTTCGTCCACACACCCATTCTCTCAGTCCCTCGGTGTCGATCTCGGCCCATGCGCACCCTCCCGTCTGAAGTGGCATGTGTCAGTATCGCTCAGCTCGACAGGGAACAGCTCCCATTCGAAGAGGGCCCCACGCCAAAACTCTCAAACATCAAACGCTGTTGTGAATTGGCGTGTGCTTGTTAAACATGGAACAAATTTCCTCTCTGTTGTACTGGGAAGGTTATAGTTATGTCAAGCTCCCTGTCTTGTCCACAAAGCAAACCCCTCCTCCCTCAAACCCCACGAGGTCACCGACCACATTCAAGGGCCTTCCCCGCAGTGCGTGTTAGAGTGACCACATCGGATTGTCGAGCTCTGATTTTTGAGTGGCCAGGCGCACATTTGCGCTTTGACTAGGGATAAGAAGATGAGGTGTGAAGCTTTGGAATTAAATGGGCGCATTGTAGCTACCTGGGAGCTGAGTGAGCCTTCAGGCATGTAGGCAGTTCGACTAATGGTTTCACGTCACATGGAATCAGAATTCGGAAAGGAATTGATGAGCAAATGTTTATGCTATTGAAGATCTCTCACTTTTTCCCCCCTATTGACCAAGAGTGATCTAAACATGTGACCCTGATGTGGGCATGCGAAAAAGTGTACAGTGATATATACAAAAATGGTTGTAAATGTTCAAGGAGAAGAAAAAACAAAACGCCGTAGATCTGAATGTGTCGTATCCTGTATGTTGATCATGACTCGACCAGTGTGCTCCCGAGGTATCATATCCCGTAAATGCTAAACCGTTCGTTAAAAGAGTCCGCCATCAACCAGCTTAGGCGGAACGGAAGCGAAGGGAGCGCTGGCGGAGAGCACGCTTGCGGCCGTTTCGGGTCACAACCATGCTCAACTCGGCGCTGATGCCAGCAGTGCAAGAGGTACCGCCAGCGAGGGCCTGGACAGATGACCAGGTACCGCTAGCGCAGCGCTGGAAGGAGCTGCCTCCGACACAGTTCCAGGCGCCCTCATCAGTGCAGGCGGCGCCGACAGTCTGAGCACCGGCGGTGGTGCCGTTGCCGCTTCCGGTGCCAGACGAGGGAGCGGCGGAGGGAGCGGCAGAAGGGGCAGCACTGGGAGTAACTGCAGGTGCCTTAGTAGCGGAGGCAGAGGCAGTAGGAGTGGCCGAGGCGCCACCGTTGGCGGGAACGGTGATGAAGACGCCGCCGGGAAGGGAGGCGTTGCCGGTAGGCTTGGAAGCGGAGGGCTTGGATGAAGCCGGGGCGGAGGTAGGAGCAGAAGTGGGCGCGGCACCTCCGTTACCGGCGGTAGAGCTGGGGGCAGGAGAGCCGGTAGAGCCGCCGCCGGAACCACCACCAGCCTTGAGCGCATTGCAGGCCGGGGTATCGGGGAGCTCGGTGAGTTCGCCAGAAGCAAAGATGTCAACAGAAGAGCCTGGGTTGGGGAACTTGAGATCGGTGCTGTCAGTGACCTTGCAGTCGTTGATGTTGGCAACGAGCATGTCGGGAAGGGCCTCATAGGCAGTCTGAGAGCCGGCGTCTCCGGTAATGGTGACGGGTCCGCAGTTCATGTACATCTCGCGGTTTCCGACCTTGTTGAACCAAGTCCAAGCGATGGTACCGTTACCGGCGGGGATGTCCTTGGGAATGGTGAAATCGTACGTGTCCTTGCCCTGCTGGTTGGCATTGTCACCGAGGTTGCCGGCAGTATTCTTGGCCGGGCAGCCTCCCTCAATGGACTTGATGACCTTCCAGACGCTATTCTTGTCGGGCTTAGCATCGTAGGTGATAGAAACCTGGCAAGATCCACCGCCGTGGACAGCAGAACCGATGAAGGCGAGTTCGCCGGTGGCGCCCTGAGCGTAGACGTTGGAGGCACCAGCAGCGTTGTAGCTGCTAGCCTTGCAAGGGAAATCACTGCCGCTGGCATCCAGGGGGCTGTTGTTGAGGTTGGCGGCGTCGTAGGGGACGGGCGAGCTCATCTTCATGTGAGCACTGGCGAGGGTGGCCAGGCCGAAGGCGACGATTGCGTTGGCGTACATGTTGAGTGAGTTTTTTGAGTTGTGAAGTTAAGAATCTAAAACGTTCCAGACGTAAGAATCTAGGTATCGTGTGGTTGTCGTTGTGACTGTGAGTTGAGTTGGAAAGAAGTTGTGGTTTCCGAAGAATGAGTACCTTTATAAAGCATGTTAGTTCTCGATCTCAACCTAGCCATTACACAAGATCCAGCATCTTCGACAGCGCATCTGTTCCTCAACAGGCCCGACTCGAAGCAACCAGCCACAGCCACGACCGTGAAAGTCCCGGTGTGACGGGACTGGGTGCCTTCGAAGAATGACATTGTTTGTGATACAGCGCGGGCCGCGATGTCGGACAAAGGCATCGAATCGGGCCCAGGACGGCCGAGGCTGCGTGCCGTTCCTTTGAAGAGGGTCCTCGTAACATTCCAGGTTACTTACAATGTCGTCTCGCTTTGTCTTGCTAGGAGGCTTTGACGTTGCGGGATGTTTCAACAAAAAAGTGTTGGAGTGAAGGTTGAGAATCGGATAGCTGTCGATGGGTCTCGAAGTTTCGATATTCGTTTGATTCCGGAAAGGATGGTATTTGCACCAGGCGAGTTGGATATGTTGATGGAAGTTGTGAAGAAGAATAAGGACTAGCCTTTGTTGAATGAGAAGTGAGAGAAGGTAAGATGTCGAAACGACAAGTTCTTTCCAAGCCCAAAGAATGCGAGAAGACGTGATGGTCCGAGAGGATGAGGAGTAGTAGAATGGGATTGTGAGGTCGGACAAGGCCAGGTCTTATAAGACCGGAAACAGACCAAAAGGGATGATGGGCAAAAACGAAGTGAGTACCTTAGTGACTGTGACTGACAGGGCCCCACGGACAGAATATGCCGGGCTTAGTGTGCAGAGAGTGACTTAGTGACTAAACGAATGGATACGGGAAAGGAGAGGCAAAAAAGCAATAAGCACGAGCTGCAGCAGAGAACGGCGGTAATCCCAGAAGGACTGGAGAAGGATGGACTGGAGGTCGGACCGGGAGGATGAGTAGCTGAACAAGATCGGTCCACTTGGGACGAGAGAGACATGGCGTTCTTTTTAGACAGGCGTTGAGCCAAATGGGCCAGTCAAGACCAGACATGGGCATCAGATCAAGGGGATTCGAAGCATTGTGGATCGACCGAGGGGTACAGGGGCAGGCCGTTGAAGAAGGAGAGGCATGGCCTTGAGGCTATGATAGGCCGGAGACATGCCCCTCGGCTTGTTTCGACATGGCTCAAAAAGACCGGACTAAACATTCTTGTGAGTGGGCAGGGGTGTGGAGGACAGAGAGGAAAAGGACATGGAGATGAGTACGGAGTATAGGTGATCAGTCAGGGTGTGGGTGGCCATCTGGAGCTCGAGCTGCGGCTGTCGTCTGCCTGTCGACTTTGACCCATGGTCTCGCGGCAGAGGCTAAGACGGTAAGACCATGCCATGTTCCTGGGAAAGACAGATGGTGGTGGACTTTGGTATGTAGATGTGGGTGGGACATGGAGGGACGGGGACCTTGCAGCAAGGCGCGCCATGGTGCGTTGCGGGTTGGGCTGCGGTCTTTTCGAGCGACGGATGCCCCTGACTAAACTTGTCTAAGGAGGAGCCAAGGACAGCCAAAGGCGGGGGAGGAGGGAGGGTTGTCCTGTGGTGCATCTGTGGACCAGCTTCGAAGTGGTATAGACTATAGGGGAGGGATTGGTGAGGAGTTTTTCGAGCTGTCGTTGATAGCGAGGATTGAATGGCTGGGACGAGGTGGGAAGAGAGACAAGTGACACCGAGGATGGTGCGCTAGTGGGAGGGGAGGTCCGGGACTGGCGACAGGGAGCAGGGAGCGATGATGCAGGGAGCATGGGTGCGTGTTGTGGATTCTAGACTCCAGGGACCCACCGGACAACGCAGTACGTACCCTTACCACTCCCGTCCAGGAACGACGTCCCATTGGGTGCTCGGGACACGCTAACGGAGCACGAGTGCACGGTTCCTTGCCTCTCTCGATACGTACTCTTTTGGCACCAGCTCCTTTTTTCGCATAGTAGAAACGTCCCGTCTATACGTATCTTTCCATGCTACCTACTAAGGCAGGAACGGATATACGTAGTTCACTTGGAAGGGGCGAGGATGGTAGGCACGGGAATATGGAGGATCGCATAGGTGCAACCACATGTTTCCATCTAGTGCGTAGATGGCAACCCTCAACTTGCTCTAGAAGAGCGGTAGGAACATTGAAGCGCTCGAGCTGCAGCTTTCAAGACAGGAGAAGCACCAAAATCGGCGGGGACTACTGCAAGGCACCATCTGGGAGATGATCACAGCATGCAGTAGTCCTTCTGGTTGTGAGAGTCAGAATGCCACACCCAATTCTCTAGTATTCTTGGTTCCCGTCCTGTTCCTGTTACTAAATGCATTCGTCCAGACTATCTTAGTCTTGCTCGAGGCTAGATTAGAAGGGAGGCGTTGCGATGCAAGTTTAGTCATCTCATCCGGTGTATATTCTTTTTCCAACCTTGGACGGCAATGAGGCAAGTTGTTGCCTTCGCCTCGCCAAGCCTCAAGGTCCTAGGATCAGCGTAGTATACCTGGGCCTGGTAGTTAATTCTTCAACACCAGAACTTTGCCTGACAGGCAAACAGACAGCGCGGCACGGTAGCGCGGCTCGTTTGCTGACTGACGGCTCGTCCGTATGCACTGACTGGGTCCAAAGTCAAGATCGTCGAAACACGAAAAGGGCGAAGCAGTCCAGTCCATTCCATTCCAGACTTTTCGCGCTTTGCCGAACGTCGTTTCTCCCCCTTTCTTATTTGGGACAATAGGCGGCCTCCAATCAGGACATGTCGAACCTTGGATTCGGAGACGGGACTTGGGTAGTGGTGATCCATCGGCGGCCATCTTTTGCGACCCTCGCTCTCTGTCGCCCAAGAGGCCTTGGTGGCGGCCACTTAGATCCCTCGCATACCCTCGCGGGAGAGAGATACGTCACGGTGCGGCGCAACCCTGCCTGATCGCATTGGCTACGCCGCTTTCCCAGCTAACAGGGCCTGCGTTTTCGGATGCTCACCTCGTGAGCGAGAGTCCAGCGCCTTGGTGTGGGAGAAGACAGAATTGGCCCATTGCCCCCTGTCGACGATTCTGAGCGCAGGGGTTATGAGAGCGCACTCATTCCTGATGTGGACTAACGCCAAAAGGGATGGGCAAGGGGGTTTTTCAAGAGTCAAGACCAAGACATGCAACGACTGGACTGGACTGTCATGGTGTCGCCGCCGTTGTCGCGCAGCGAGCCTCACCCGCCCATCCAGCCCAATGAGCTTGGTGCACGCACGAAGCGGGCAACGGGGGAACATGGAGCCTGGAGGACGTGTTGAAGAGAGGAAGAGAAATATCAGGGTCAGGGATCGGAGAGGTGGGCGGAAAGCAAAACGCAAGTCAAAAAAAAAAAAAATCGTGGAAGAACAGGGGGGGATCCGCTGTGCCGCTGAACCACACATCCACGGCTTTCGGCAAGGCCTGATGAGCAAGGGGGTACGGAACGTGGAAGAAAGGGGGCAGACGATGTCCAAACTCTGGTTCGACGATGGAGTTGGTTCCGCGATTTTTCATATCATTCCTTTTTTTTGCAGTGAACTCACCGCTGGCCAAGACATGCACTTCTGGGACCGACAATCATCCTCAGTCCACTTGTATGTCAAGATGTCTTACTCTTGACTAAGGTGAAGAAGAACTAAAAAAGAATATCCCAGACCTCAGCATGCCAGGCGAAAGCGAGACATGCAACGGGCATCTCGAGCCGGTAGTGAGACTTTGGGAACGAGATGCCTTGACTTCTACTCGGGGGGCACACCTTGTTGCTAGTTCAGCTCACCGTCCACACCGAGAGACACACCTCCACACCTCGGTGCGCTGAGTGATACATACTGATAGGTACCTTACGTGAGGGAGGGAGCAATGCACGGAATGCAGTGTATCAGTCAGGCCCCATCCCTCCGTCCATTGTGCGCATTGTCGCTTGACAAGCTAAGAAGCCAAGACCCAATATGAACAAAGTCGCGTTGATCGACAAGATTCTCCCGAGTCAGTGATGGGTCATCCCCGTTGTGGGAAGTCTACGATGACTTGAGTAACGTAAAGTGAGAGAGTTGAATTGTCATCGGCTGCTCCCCCAACTCAATCTACTCCGTCTCGACCTCGGTATTACTGTACCCCTCTGGCCCCGGCCCTAGGCCACAAGGCGCATTTAGAGTGGACGTTTTGGCTTGTGGATTGTGGAAGGCGAAATCTTAAGAGAAAGAAAGGTAAGTGGGAGGGAGCACCGCTGTACAATCCGCACACTCGTTTACTGCGGCTGCTGTCTTAACACGTCATAAGTCTCTTCCCGGTAGTGCCGCGGTGGCAGTGTACCTTATCTCCCGGTGTTGGCCTGATAGTGGGGACCACATCCGTATCCGTACTCCGTACCTTACACGTGTGTGCGTGGACCACCTTACCTAAGCCTCAGGTCAAGATAGAGACAAAGTGGTGCATATGGGTTGTGGCGGTCTACCTTATTAGTTGCTTTAAACGATCAACGGTCTCCCCACCGAAGACATGAAAATAAGGAACGAGGTGAGCGGCTCACGACAGCCACTCGTTTTCACTATGCTATGCGCACTTGCTTCTTTCTCTTCTCTCTCCGAAAAAGTCTCTCATCCCAGTGCCGAGACCTAGTGCGCTGCGTACCCATGTTGACATGCAAAGGACAGGCCAAAGTCCCCTGACACTGCGACCTGCCCATCTGGATGTTCCCCGCCTGCTCTCCGATTTAGCGGGGGCAGGCGAGCAGATCCTCCTGTGCAAGTGCAGGGGCACAGGGGTTGGTGAAAAAGACGACGTTGGTAACGGCAGGGGCATGTTTTCTCGCTTCTCTGAAGTTCTGTGCATTTTTTCGGTTCGGTCCATCAGGGGTTCACGTACCCCCGGGCTGGGAGTCCTCCTGTCCACAGGCGACGGAGTCCAAGTCCACACAACTTGACAAGTTGAGGCCTTTTCTGCCCTCTCGTTAATCGTGCCCACTTCACAAGTGCACCTGACGGAAGCCCTAGGTACTTTGGCATGGGTTCATTCCTTTCTCCGTCGCACCTTATGTGCTAATATACCATCGTCTAGGAACAAATGGTAGGCTAATCAGTCGTCACACATGCTACGTTGTAGTGGACACAGGGTCTCGTGGAAGGTGGTCGTGGTGAGGTGGTTTCCTGCAAAATGTCTAAGGAGGAGACGAGACTTGACTTGCTGGCAGTGGGCACTGGTCAGTGATGGTGCACTGGTGACTGGCAGCCTGCAGGAGCCCCCAACTCCAGCACCCCTGCGCAGAAGCGAGGATGTGAAACGAAGCCAGTTTCACGACCACCCAAGTTCGCCTCTTCTCCTTTCGGACATTTGAACCTGCACCTACGAACCACTGACAACGAATCAATGGGATATTAACAGTCACCTGTTAATGGGATTACCATGACCGGTACGCAGTAATTGTGCCGCGTGCGGCATCATATGGTTCCTGCGTGTTTTTGAATCTTTTCCCAAGCTAAGCTTTTTTGACCGTTTGTTTCTTTAGGCCAGTCAGTTCAGATGTTCAGTCCCGTCACAATCACAGGCCATCGCGGACCGCGGAAAGCGGGAACATGGCATGGCATTGCCGCATCGCATGGCATCTGTGATTCAGTCTTAGCACACCGGGGCCAGTCGTTTTTCTTTGTCCAACTTCATCGAGAGAACGTCGTCGCAACGACCTTTCCCCCTCTTCCTATCCGCCGCGTTTGGAGTAAGCGCTCTAGGAAACGAACCAGCTTCGTTCGTTAGCTGAGCACCTGTCACGAGCTGTCAGCCTAAAGGTGCTTAACCCCTCCGGTTGCTCTGACGTTGACCAGTCGTTTGACAGCAACGGGACGACGACGTGCACTTACGACAACCAAGTATCGTGCGCCAAAGCTCTCAGGCCTACTGAACATTTCATGCGTCTTCTACTCCGTTCTTAGCAGCTAGCTGCTCTTTCTGCGACCATAGACGCAGCCCGTCGCCCGGCTGTCACTCTGGCACGTTCACGGTTCATCAAACCCCCAGTGCCCAAAGCGACCACGGCCCATCAACCTGAACCCTGCAGATTCTACTCTCTCCTCTCCGAGTCTCTACTGCGTATGAATACGTATCACTGTCCCCCGGCCTTTGCCCGACCGCAGTGGGACATTTCACCGGCTGTTGTCCACTGTCACGTTGCTGATCGCCACCCCGTGGTCCACCGTCCAATTCCCGGATGGTGGTGGCCCGAAATCCACGGCCGAGTGGATATCGACAGGGACCGCTCGCAAGAAAGAAAAGAGGCTCATAACACTTGCTTATTCACGTGAGAGGGGAGGGAGGGTGACGCTGGGAGAAACAAGAGACGAGATATTCCGGTCGGTTCGTTGCGCGCGGCGCAGTACGTAATTCTTTACCCATGCGTCGACATATCCTCATCTATCAACTACACAGATAGCTCTGGTTCCTTTGAGTCCGGTACGCTATTGCCCCTGGTCGAGATTTCCATCGTCTGATGATTTCGACAAATCCCTCCTTCTTCATCTTGGCCCGTCCACGTCCGTGTTACTGCCTCCCCTGAACATCGCAGCTGGTTGGGCATTGGGTAGAATGAGCCCAGGCTCGACAAGCGCCGTCTGGAAAGACGACTCGAGTAAGGGAGGGAGGTGTGGGAGGGAGCCACGCACCCACGGGAGCTGAGAAGGCAGCCAGCGCTGGGAGGCCCGTCTTTTCTCAACTTCTCCTTCATGTTCGGACGATCTGGTTGAACCGAGTCTCGTACTTGCGACACTGATCGCCCGCCAGCGCACACAGCCTAGCGCCGTACCAGCTACGAAACGGCACCCGTTCCCGCTCACGCATGAATTCCCCGACATGACCTCTACCACCTGATGGCCCCTTGCCAATACCCTATTCTTTGCCGTCGTGCGGTCCTCCTTTGGGCAGTCGAGCCGCCATCAGCTTAAGTCATGGGCAACGACACATATCAATCTCGGTGGGGAGGGGCATCCCTGGCGAACACCCAATTCGAGCGCGCCTCGGCATGAAAGATCGCCTCTGAGCCACAACCTCACGAGGAGATCCGAATATTTCCCAGGTAACGCCACCCGCCATCAGCCACCCCTGTTCGGTACCACCTTGCGAGCAACGGCTTGTGGCGCGGTGTGGCTTCCCCTGCCTGCCGGAGCCACAAAGATCTCTCGTATACATGGCCCCTTGTGGCTCGTAATTCGTGCTTCCCGAGAAAAGGGACCAGCTTTGCGGTACGTGGGACCAGTTCGCTTCGCTTCCTGTGCCACAAGAGCACAGCTTTACAGATACCGATATAGTACCGATATAGTGTTCTTCATCGGATGCCTCTGGACTACTATCCTTGCATAGCTGGAAATCCCGGCCCTCAAGAGTCAGCCGCTACTAGCATGCTTGAATTCAGAATTCAAGAGTGGGTCGGCATTGTTCACGAGGAGGCGGGCACTTTACACGCTTTCACACGATGTATTGGCGCCTGTTCCTGAGCTAGTTCAAGCTGCTGTGGCTCGTTTTTCCGTGGCATGATTCTCAGCCGCTCAACAAAAACGCCGGGCTTGCATGGTCTCTCAGCAAGCTTGCATAAGCGTGGACCACTCAGAAGCTGTGTTGCGGTCAGCGAGTATTAGTGCACTTATCATGGGCGTTGCTGATATCATCAAGGCTGCTCCTCGGATTGAGGGCTTCCCCCGCTTTGAATGGTTGCATTGCCGCCCAAACTTGGCAATAGGACGACGACGACAGCCACGACAGCATCACATCACATCACGGGGGAGAAGGCACACGTACTCACGCTCTGCAGCCCTGTGCGCCAAGGCTGGCGGCAGTCATTGACTCATTCCCGGGGCATGGCTGGTTAGCTAGACGTCGTCTTCTCTATTTGCTGATATCGCGTCCTGGTTTCATCTATCCGTCACATCGTGATTGCCCGTCTGCCATGTGTGGGCGGCGGCGGCTCAACTCTCTCCAATGCCGTGAGCCGGCGCTGACATGTCCACTTCACACCGCCCTATCGGCCCAGTTGCAGACCTGCGTCGGCTGCCTGCCTGTCGTGAGAGCCCATCAAATAATGCCGTTTGCCGCCATGCGTAGAAGAAGAGCAAGAAAAAAACAGAAGTATGCTGACCCAAGTCCTGGGGCTAAGCAACCGCTCTACTTGGCAACATCATCCTTCTTCTCCTCGTGACCGTTTGCATCTTCCTTCTCGGCCTTCTCAAACTCTGCATAATCGTCGCAGCCTGGATGTGATTTTACCAATGTTAGCGGAAAGAGTAGTCCAACACGTCGGAACTGAGCCCTCCCCTAGGCCAGCCGAGCCAGCCCGCCCCCCATGGACAGATCGAAGCCGGGATGAGTCGCTGGTCTCACCTTCAAAGACGTAGCTCTCGCGCGTCCAGACGTGCATCTTGTCCTTGCGGAACTCCTCGAACGACCACTCCACACGCTCCAGGTTCTCCGGGCGCTTGTAGATGTAAGCCATGGCCTGCTTGTCCTCTTCCTTCTGCTCCGTACCACCACCGGCACCAGCACTGGCACCGTCGCCGCTACGGACCTTGACGGTGACCATCTTCTTCTCGTACTCTGAGCCCTCGAAAAAGTCGAGCTTGAGGACGTTAGCGTCCGTGAGGCCCGTCGCGTAGATGCCGAGAACGGAGCCGCCGGCTTCGGGAATCATGCCCGGGTAGTCGGCGAGCTGGACCCGGTGGCGGGTGTGGTCGTGCAGGAGGGCGGGGGTGAATGTGTAGAGGTCCTTGATTGCCTGGGGCGGGTTGCCGTTGCCTTGGACAACTGTGAAGAAGACTTTGGGCTCCATCTAGGGGCCAAGTATCAGTGACATGAGAGCTCCTTTGGAGTTTGAGGAGGGTGACGATGAAGAACTGACCAGAGTGCCTGTCGATATTGTTAGCTCATGACAATCAAGGATCAAAAACCAAAACTCCAACCGGACTTACCATAGAAGAAGGCTGTGTGCGGCCCACTCATTTTGAAGGTGTTGTATTGGTATTTGATAGGAGGTTGCGTGTTGTTGTCAGAATAACTTTGTGAGGTTTTGAAATTGGCCAGATGAAAGTTGTCGTGTTGAAAATGGACAGCTTTCGGACAGAATCCAATGCAGGAGAGTCTAGCTTCTATATACTACTCTTGGGTCTCAAATATGACCTGTGACTCACTCATGTCTCTCTATCCAAACTTTTGAATATTCGTCTGCCTGGTCAAGATGGACTGACAACTTCCAAGAAATGCCAACAGGCAAAACCGTTGTATGCGCGTCTCTTTGTGGGCTTTACACAAACCTGAAAGAACAACGTACCTGCGAAAGAAGCGGTTGGTAAACTTGAAAGAAAACTGAGGCAGGCAAGCAACGTTGTAAAGTTGAACAAAGGTGGCCGAAGAATGAAGTGGAATCCCGGCCCGCCTCCGGACCACGATTCACCGGCGGCCGGAGCTCTTATCGCTCCCCAGGCAAGATAAGGCGCTTTAGGCAAACACCCCTGCCCCCAGAAGCGGCCCGGCGAGCACTCCGGGTGGATCTTTTATGGAGTCTGAGCCACGGATCAATATTCTTCAGATGCCTAGCGCCAAATGATTTGGCGGCTGGTTCCCCCAGCTTCGCGACTGCCTTTGGAAATTTGAGAGCTCACGTCAAGCCTGGGCCATCAAATCCATTTAATCAAGCCGCGCGACCTTGAGCGATTGGGAACGACTGGGGCACCCCGATTACCAAGGCACACGCGAAGACAACCCGTAATCGTAAAATTACCTTTTGGTCTTTCTATTCACATTTTACACCACCAGCGGCCCTTTTTTCCCTTTTCCATCGATTAAAGAGATACCCCTCCAACTCCAACGCGCGCTCTCGTCCGCAACCTCGATTCATCAGCCTCGCTGCGACACGAAGTCATCCACGATACCCTCCCCTCCCACGCATGGGAACGAATCACGCGTCCCCCGAGGGCCATTGACGCCGCCATGTCGGGCACCACAATTGACGATGTCGTCAAGCGACTTAGCAGTCCGGACACGGGTACGGAACGAACTTCTCGTGCAAATGCGATGCGATCAGTCCCTCGAACCCGGAACCCCGCCGTGGTGGAGGCGCATCACCTTTTGTCAGGACCTTGCTGATATATGTGTGGTACAGACTCGAGAGTCAGATTAGAGGCGGCGACTACCTTACGCGACAGCTTAGATCACTACACCAATGGAACCATATACCCCCCTTTCCTGAAGCGAATGGTACCGATCTTCCTCACAATCCTGAGAGGACCATGCATCTTCCAGAGCAACTCCCCGGAGCAGGTGAGGCATTCCCGCATCGATTTAGATGAGTGCGCCTGCTGACATAGGATGCCAGAAACTGCGAACGTGTATCCTCGAGGTTCTCAACCGATTGCCAGCGACACCATCCCCGACCGAACCCTTCGAACCGTACGCGGAAGAGGTCGTCGATCTGCTGATGCAGCTGGTCCGTACGGATAACGAAGAGAATGCGACACTATGCGTCAAGATCATCTCGGATGTCATGCGTCACCAACACAAAGTCCTGCAGGGCAAGGTGCAGGCGTTCCTCAACCTAATCCAGGAGCTCTTCGAACAGATGGAGAAGGTCGTGCGGGAACAGCTGGACAACACGTCACTCTCGACGGCATCAAACTCTGGCGCACCATCAACGCCGGGCAGCTCCCAGACGAACTTCCAGTCGCCTAGACCGGGCTCCCCTGTAGCGTCGGTCACAGATCTCGGCCCGGATCCCCAACAGCAGAATCGGCTACTGCTGAAGGGCATGCAGTCTTTCAAAGTCCTCTCGGAATGCCCTATCATTGTAGTTTCCGTCTTCCAGGTCTATCGAAATACTGTCGCATCCAACGTCAAGGCTTTCGTCCCTCTAATTAAGGGGTTCCTTTGCCTACAGGCGAGCGCGCAGAAGCAGGCCCATGCCGATGCCAAGGCCAGGGGACAGATCTTTACGGGAGTCAGCCCGTTGATTAAGAATCGGGCTGCTTTCGGAGAGTTCATCACAGCCCAGGTTAAGACGATGAGCTTTTTGGCTTACCTCTTGCGTCAATACTCTCAGCAATTGACGGATTTCTTACCGACACTTCCTGAGATTGTGGTGCGACTCTTGCAGGACTGTCCCAGGGAAAAGTCGAGCGCGCGAAAGGAGCTGCTTGTTGCTATTAGGCATATCATCAACTTCAACTTCCGCAAGATCTTCTTGCCAAAGATTGACGAGCTCCTGGACGAGAAGACGCTGATCGGCGATGGCCTTACGGTGTACGAGACTATGAGACCGTTGGCGTATAGTATGCTTGCCGATCTCATCCATCACGTCCGGGACAGTCTCACACCTGAGCAAATTCGCAAGACGGTCGAGGTTTACACCAAGAATCTCCAGGATAACTTCCCAGGCACGAGCTTCCAGACCATGAGTGCCAAACTTCTCCTCAATATGGCGGAGTGCATCGCCAAGATGCCCAACAAGGTCGACGCGCGGCACTATCTGATCATGATCCTGAACGCTATTGGCGACAAGTTCGTGGCAATGAATAGACAATATCCCAACGCAGTGAAGCTCTCGAAACTCTACGCCCAGCAAGCCGCTGACGGAACCCAGGATAGCTACCTTGCGGACAGGGACCACCCGCCTGACTGGGATGAGACCGACATCTTCACTGCTATGCCCATCAAGACGTCAAATCCAAGAGACAGAGGCGCAGATCCCGTTGTGGACAACAAGTTCCTGTTTAAGAACCTGATGAATGGGCTGAAGAACACTTTCTATCAGCTCAGAACGTGCAATGTCAACAACGTAATCGACGTACAGAATGCCCCTCAACACTGGCAGGATGTTGCCTATGGTTTCACAGCAGAGGAGGTCAACGTTATCGTGAAGCTGTTCAGAGAGGGCGCCTACGTTTTCCGCTACTACGAAATTGAGAAGCCGGCAACCGAGTCCCAGTACATGTCGCCTGTGGAGTACATGGCCAACTTCTACATGGTTTCTAGCAGTAAAGAGGAGAAGGAACTCCTGGAGACCTTTGCGACTGTCTTCCACTGCATTGACCCGGCAACGTTCCACGAAGTTTTCCAGCAAGAGATCCCCCATCTGTACGACATGATCTTTGAGCACACGGGACTACTCCACATCCCTCAATTCTTCCTCGCGAGCGAAGCCACCTCGCCAAGCTTTTGCGGCATGTTGCTGCGCTTCTTGATGGAGAGAATCGACCAAGTTGGCTCAGCGGACGTCAAGAAGTCGTCAATTCTTTTGAGACTGTTCAAGCTAGCCTTCATGGCAGTCACGCTCTTCGCCAACCAAAACGAACAGGTCCTACTTCCTCACGTCGTGGACATTGTCACCAAGTCCATCGAGCTGTCGACAAAGGCTGAGGAGCCCATGAACTACTTCCTACTTCTGAGATCGTTGTTCCGAAGCATAGGTGGCGGCAAATTTGAGCATCTCTATAAGCAGATTCTGCCATTACTTGAAATGTTGCTGGATGTGCTCAACAACCTGCTCATGGCAGCAAGAAAACCTGCCGAGCGTGATCTTTACGTGGAGCTGTGCTTGACGGTGCCTGCACGTCTGAGTAACTTGTTGCCCCATCTCAGCTTCCTGATGCGACCACTAGTCGTCGCGTTGCGCGCCAATACCGATCTGGTCGGCCAAGGATTGCGGACGCTGGAGCTCTGTGTCGATAACCTCACTGCGGACTACCTGGATCCCATCATGGCCCCGGTCATTGATGAGTTGATGACGGCGCTGTTCGACCATCTCAAACCTCATCCCTACAGCCACTTCCACGCTCACACCACGATGCGCATTCTAGGAAAGCTTGGAGGTCGGAACCGAAAGTTCATGACTGACGCGCAACCCCTGAACTACAAGGACTACGCCGATGACCCGACTAGCTTTGATCTTCGCCTAATCGGCTCCAAGAAGGATAGGGCTTTCCCTGCGGAGACTGGTGTTGATTTCGCCATCAGGAAACTGATGGAGCAGCCAAAGGCGGGCAAGGGCAACCAGGCGCGGCAGTATGATGGTTATTACAAGAAGCAGTCATTCCACTTCATCAAGTCTCAGCTGAAGATGCGGATCGGCTTCGAGAACTTGCCCGACGACATGCCTAGACTTCTGCGCCTCCAAGCTCAAGATCTAGCCGCCAGAAGAATCGACTTTGACTTTTCTGTCTTTACAACACACGACAGAGAACGATCTATCCCTAAAAAGGATGAGCAAGACGACCTTCTGAAGCGTTTGCTGAAGGCTGTCATGTTTGCCGAGTCTTTGCCTGATTTCAAGGAAGAAGCGCAGGCATTCCTTATGAATCTCTGCAAACACTTCACAATCATTGAGGTCGGCCGAGCTTTGGTCGACGTCAAGCGAACGTACAGTCCATTCGATCCCAACGCTGGAGAAGGCCCACTCTTTATTGATACCCGGGTGCTTTCTGATGCTATCGTGGAATCGTTGGCGTCGGATCACCCAGAAGTGCGAGAATCTGCGCAGCGCGCGATCCGGGAGGTGTACGACTCTGCCACCACAATCTTGGGCAACGAGCAGAGTGTTGCTAGGCTGCCTCTCTTTAATAACTTGAGCACCACATTCTGCCATGGCTGCTACGAAGAAGAGTGGTTTACCAAGACTGGTGGCTCGCTCGGTATCAACTTCCTTCTCAATGAGCTTGACCTAGGTGACCAATGGGTTGCGAGCAAGCAGATCGAATTCATTCGCTCTCTAATGTACGTCATCAAGGACATGCCTCAGGATCTCCCTGAGAAGACTAGAAGATCTGCTCAGGTCACCTTGGAGACGTTGCTGCATAAAATCACGAAGAACATCAAGAAGGAGGATGCCATGCCGCAGCAAAACCCTGGTCAGCCGCCGCAACAGAGGTCCCGCCTCGCCCAAATTTGCATGCAGTTCAATACGGAGCTGGCGCATATGAATCGCCATGTTCGCGAGACTGCGAAGCGATCCCTCGAACTTATCGCCAAGGCGGCTGGCTGTGCCGTATGGGAGCTGATTGAACCCTACAAGGAGCGATTCCTTCAGCCAATCTACTCGAAGCCCCTTCGTGCCCTGCCATTCCCCATCCAGATCGGCTACATTGATGCGATGACTTACCACATGACCTTGCGGAAGGAATGGGTTACCTTCGACGACAACTTGACCAGATTACTCATGGAGTCTTTGGCTTTGGCTGATGCGAGCGATGAGTCTCTGGCGAATAAGCCAGGAGAATTCAGGACACACGAATACATTGTCAATCTCAGGGTTGCCTGTATCAACATCCTCAGCACCGCCACCAGTTTCGAAGAGTTCGCGCCGCTCAAGCAAGGCAGCCACCCTACGCGTTCCAAGATCGTCTCGGTTTTCTTCAAGTGTCTTTACTCGGACTCAAAGGCC